AAAATATTATTATTATCACATAAATAGATTAACAAATGTTTTAAATTTACTTAAAATTTGGCAATATATGATTTACTTAAATAAAGCACAAAATTAAGTGGTTGGATTAACAAATATAAATTGTATGAAAAGATATGAGACAATTTAAAACAAATTTATTTTTACACATGTCTAATTAGATCTGTCTTCATTTTTTGTTTTCATATTTCTTTATTTAATAATTTAAAAATAAATCTTTGAAAAGAAAATGAAATATAAATTATCCTTATTTAAAAAAATTTTCATGTTATACTAATCACTTAAATTTAATTAATAGTAGAGAGATGAAAAGTCACAAATCATTATTATGTTAATTTCAATTTATACATATTTTATAAATTAATGATTTAAAAATAAATCTTAAAAAAAGAATATAAATAAATTTTACTAATTTTTCATTTTTATTTCTTTTACAAGTTTCACGATTTCATTTGACTTTAATAATAAAATTTTTTTCTTTAATATGATTGTTATTTTAGTTTTTTGATTTTTTCTAAATTTAATTAATTTTTTATTTTTAAAAGATTAATCGTGCAAAGCACGGGCCAAAGCCCTAGTTAACTATAAAATGATTTTATTCGTCGTTTTGATAATTAATAAACAATAAATTTTTTATGCATATGAAATATTACAATTAAATCAAAATCTAACACTATTGTCGTTCTTCTTGTAATAATATTTCCAATAATATTGATTTAGACTCTCAATTATTACGAGGATTTTATTTTAAGCATACATTTAAAGTTTTCTTAAATATATTAGATTATACAAATTCATTGGATTTTGTGCTATATATTAAAAAGAGATAATTTTTCGCATTCTATAAGAAAATAAAACCATTAATTTTAATATTTTTGGTTCTAATTGTTGAAATATTCTTTTGAATATTCAAAATTTCCTATATAGTATTTATCAAAAAAAATTTCTTATATAATATAATATTATTTTTTGACTTAATACTCAAATAAACTCTGAAATTTTACTTCAAAATAAAAATAAGCTCTCAGTATTTTATTGCATTAAATTGAGATTATGAAATTTTATTTTATGATAATTATACTCATTAAATCTTAGAATTGGATGAATAATGTTTAATTGATAAAATTTTTAAAATAGAATTCTTTTAAATTTTTGTCATTTAACTCATCAAAATGAATTTAATTAAGTATTTTCTATAAATTAAATCATTCAATTAAAAATTAAAACAAAAATTGAATATTTTATACCATCATGGTTCTAATTACAATAAAATAAAAGTTTATAAAAATTAAATATATTATTTTACTGATAATAATTATATATCTTTTAAATTCAAATTTAAGTAGTTATAATTTTTATTTTGTAAGTTACATTTTTTTATATAAAAAAAAATGTTATAGGCTTGACCAAGCAAAAAAAAAGGTTAACCCTTACCTTGGAGTTTATCTAGAATCTATCAAATTAATTCCTGACCGAGGGGAATCTGCTAACTTTGGTTATGGAGTTATTTTGACACAAGTCAGCAACATAAAGTAAACACAAATAAAACAGCACTAGCCATAAATATTTACCAATTAAAAAAACAATTTATGTTTTTAAAATCTCCAAATTACCCATGCAATCTATATAAATTTACTTGTATAAATATTTACCAATTAAAAAAACAATTTATGTTTTTAAAATCTCCAAATTACCCATGCAATCTATATAAATTTACTCGTTAAACCTTTTTGGGCTTGATTTGTCGCCACTTGAATGGTAAAAATAACTGCAAATTGTGTCAAATTTTCATTATTAAAACTGTTCTTTTTTTTTTTTTTGGCAATTAGTGAGTCTTTTCCCCCTCTACCCGGGTCAGCAAAATTTGCATCTGAAAAAAGTCATAAATTTTAACAATATTCATTATTTATTTAATTACTTACCTTAAATTATAGATTTTTTTTTGGCTAATCCCTTATATTATTTGAAGTATTGCTTAATTTTATTATTTTCCATGTGGCAGCGTGTGGAAGATATGAGTTAATACAAATTGTGCCATGTGTCAAAGGACACGAAATTTTCTCATCTCATGTGTTTATGTGTCGGTGATGTTCAAAATTTCAAATTAACATCCAAAAATATTACAAGATGCAATTTTTCATATTGACATTTAAAATGTTACAAGCAAAATATCACAATTTGAAAGCTATGGTTAGAAATCAAATTTTTAATAACAAATTTGAAATATTACATGCCGATGTTGGATGTTTATTTTTAGTAATCAAAATTTAATTTTTAATAGTTTTTATGCATACAACATTACAATAAAATCTTAATCCAACACTTTTGTTATTTTTTTCATAATAACATCCTAATCAGATACGAAATTATTGCGATCCAAGATCTTAATTAAGCATATGTATTAAATTTTCTTAAATTTTATAGATCATGGAGATTCATTAAGTTTTGCAATATACAAAAAGATAATTTTTCGCATTCTATAAAAATTTTTTTTTTAATTTGAATATTTTTATTTAATCCTTGAGATATTCTTCTCATATTTAAAATTTTTTATTTAAGATATCTATATATTATAATAACAACAATATAATCTTTTTAAGGTTAAAATTCTTGTACCTGTCATATATTTCCTATATTTAAGTTATGTCCCCTCCTCCTTTATATAAAAAAAGTTTACTTAAAATCTCACCGTTTAATGTTTTACGCACCAGCTTTCCACTCATTGATGACAAGTTGACAACCACCGTTTCAAAGGTACAATAGAGCAAAGCAGAAATTACAGGCTTTACGAAGAAGAACATGTTTTAGCTTCGGGAAGCAAAAAAAAGTTTGCCTCTGCCTTCGAGCTTATCTGGAATCTTGCAAATTAATTCCTAACTGAAAGGAATCTGCCTCGTCACCAAAGCTTTGGTTCTGGAGTTATTTTGACATAAGTAAGCAAAATAAAGTAGACACAAATAAAACAACACTGACCATAAATATTTGCCATTTAAAAAAATAAATTATGTTTATGAAATCCCTAAATTACCCATGCAATCTTTAAAAATTCATTTGTTGAACCTTTCTGGGGTTTGATTTGTCACCATTTGAATTGCGAAAATAATTATAAATTGTCAATTTGTCATTAATTACTTTTTTCTTTTTCTTTTAGTGCCAAAAATCTTTAGTTGCTTATAAAATGCTTTTATTTTGCAAGGCAAGCACCGAGAGGTAGCCAGCCTGCCTGGGCTTTGTTCCTAATGACTAACACAGTGAAGTTATAAGTTAAAAAATTCAGCGCCTTCACATCTAATCAATTTTGCAAAATTTTATCTCTTCTTCTCCTCATTGCTAAAACGATAGAGGATGTAACAAGATATAACAGGATGTAGAAGTGGTCTCACTAGAAAAGCTAATGAAATCTCTGTTTTCTGCGATGCTGATGTTGCCCTCGTCGCCTTTTCCCCCGATGGTTTAGCAAACTTTGCGACAGGGAAATGTCATGGATTTTAACAATGTTCATTACTTATTTAATTGCTTACCTTAAGTAACTGTATTTTTTGACCGATCCCTTATTATAATTTGAAATATTACATGTGGTTGTTGGATGTTAATTTTAACAATCAAAATTTAATTTCTTTCAGTTTTAATTAAAAAATTATTTCCTTAAAAGGTAGAAAAATGACAAGTGAAATTTAAATTATTTAAAAATGAATTTCAAAATAGATTTCTCTTTTTCTCTTGCTAGCAAGTACATAACAAAGCATCCCAAATGAAGTTTGCAAAACAAATAAGTTCTCTAACACCCATATTTCATTATCTTGAATTTATAAATTAAAGATTTATACTTCTTCGAAAATTTTGACTTCATTATAATTAACTATGAAAGAGTTTTACTTGTTATTTTGATTATTAACTAGCAATAAATTATTTTGTACGCATATGGCATATTTCAATTAAATCATAATCTAACACTTTTATCGTTTTCTTGTAATAGCATCTTTAATTAATATTGATTTAGATACTTAATTATTGGGGTCGAGATTCTTAATTTAAGCATTTAGTTTAAGTTTTTTTAAATATATTAGATTGTAAAGATTCACTAGATTTTGCTCCATACAAAAAGAGATAAAATCTTTTTGGGGTTAAAATTCTTATAATATTTTTAGTTTTAATTGTTGAGATATTCTTTTGAATATTCAAAATTTTTTATATAATATAAGGATTGTTTATATATATATATTGTAATAATAATAATAACAATAAAATCTTTTTGAGGTTAAAATTCTTGCATCTACAAATTTTTTTATATTTTTATTACTACCTCCCTAATTTATACAAAAACACTAACTTGAAATCTCTCCGATAATGTTTTGCCCACGAGCTTTCCACTAACGGATGACCACAGTCGTTTCAAGGGTACAAATGAGGAAAGCAGAATTTCAGGCACAACGGAGGAGTAGAAGTTATAAGTTTCAGCAAGCAAAAATGAGTTCACCCCTGCCGTAGGGTTTATCTAGAATCTTTCAAATTAATTATTGAGGGGAATCTGCCTCGTCACCAAAACTTTGGTTATGGAGTTATTTTGACATAAGTCAGCAACACAAAGTAAACACAAATAAAACAACACTAGCCATAAATACTTACCAATTAAAAAAACAAATTATGTTTATAAAATCCCTAAATTGCCCATCACATCTTTATAAATTGACTTGCTGAACCTTTCTAGGCTTGACTTGTCACTATTTGAAAGGTGAAAATAATTGCAAATTGTCAATTTGTCATTAATTACCAAAACTTTTCTTTTTTTCTTTTTTTACTGACAATTCCTTTGTTTCTTATAAAATGCCTTTATTTTGCTAGGCAAGCACCGAGTGCAGCCAGCCTGGGTTTCGTTCCCAATTACTAATACAGTAAAATTATAGGTTCAGAAAAACGTCAGTGCCTTAGCTTCTCAATTTTGCAAATTTTCTTCTCTTTTTCTCCTCACGGAAAATCCACAAATGAGAAAGATAGAGGAGGTAACAAGATATCAGGTGACATTCGCTAAACGTAGAAGCAGCCTCATTAGAAAAGCTAATGAAATCTCTGTTTTCTGCGACGTTGATGTTGCACTCGTCGCCTTCTCCCCCTCTGGCAGGGTTAGCAAATTTTGCAACCAGGAAAGGTCATAGATTTTAACAAAGTTCATTACTTATTTAACTTGAACTATTGCTTAATTTTATTTTAATTTTTGCGCGTGGGTCATCTTAATAGGATTGAAGATGTGCTTGAACGTTATGTCAACCTACCACCAGATAAAAGATATCAGTATGAAATATATTTACAATTACCATTTTTTTTGCTCTCTGTTTAGTTTTATAATTTTTATCTTCTAATTACTCGGAATGGTTTGATGGGTATATTTCAAAATTTGATGGTGAAACTGCAGACATGCAAGGTGTCTCGAGGTAAATTTTTTTCTGTTTTTGTTAATTTTTATTTCTGTTTTTAATTACTTTTGTATAGTTGTTGTAAGAGTTTAATTAATTTTGATTTAATTTATGAGTTTTATATATTAGTGAGAGAATATTATGAAATGCATGCAGTGGAAATTACAGAAGCTGAAGCAGCTGGACTACATCAAGGAAGATGAAAACAAGCTGCTTCATCTCGATAATCAGTTTGTTTATTTTCAATCTCTTTTTAGGTTTTTTTTCCCTATCACACCATAGCATTAATTTGATATAATTAAGCGGTTGAAAATTCGTGCAGTTACACATTTTCATTTTAATTCTAGATATCATGGCTTTTGTTTTTTTCATTTTTTTTTTTAGAAATAGTAGCTCAACTTTTCCTTAATAAGTACACGTCATCTTACGTTACCGGTGAGACACATGATAGTTGGTACTTAACCATTGAATTGACAATGAGTTATCAAGATTAATATATGACTTTTCAAATTGTGGGAACTAAAATATAATGCAACTCAAATTTTATGACTCATAGGGGCAATGAACTCTCCTTTATTTTTATTATTTTGAAAATAAAAAAAAAGTAAAAAATGTTTTTTCTCCAATCTAAAAGCATATAATTTTTTGAAGAATTAAAAATTATAATTAATTTTAATAAATAACAAAATATTGTATAACATATTATATTGTTGTTTATTGTTATTATTTGTTATTACTATATGAACATAACTTTATTAATATGTTTCAAAAAATATTATTTGTTAATTACTTTCTCTAATAAATTTTATTTCGTTTTATTATTTAATTTTCTTTTAAAGATTTGAAAAATCACACAACAAATAGAAATATATATATATATATAAATTTTATGGGTAATTAACTGTATAATATTGCTTACATATATTAAGTGATTATATTCTAATAATAATTTCACTGTGCTTGGATTAATACATTCTTCATCTGGTGCACACAACCCTGGCTGATCGACTGCTTGCAGAATCAAAGTAAATATACAAGTTCTTGTACTGAATCTCTTATAAATTTGAAGTTTCATTTCATCAACTTAGATTATGTTTTGATAATCTTAGCCTTGGCTACTATCAAAATTTTTCTTTATCAGAATCTGGAAATACAAGTCAAGAAAGTTACAGAAGAGACGGAAATCTTGCAGACCAATCTCAAGTAACTCTACCACGGCAAACCTCTCCATAGTCTTCATTTCTATATTTTAGTATTCCATTATTACTCGTCTTTTTTTTTATTATTCATATTATTTGGCTTTACCATTCTTGAAGGGACTATGAGGTGGAGAATGAGGAGGATGCTTCACTTGCTCAAATCTTGTGGTGTGAGAAAAACCTGAAAAATACTCTAGAAGAAATCAAGGATAGGAAAGTGAGTTCTAATTAATCTACAGACTTTGTATATGTTAGAAAGTAATTAGAAACTGCCCATGTTTGTTATGCTTTCAATTAGCAGAGAAGGCTTAATGAGGCGTATCCATCAGTCGGGCAAATAAGGGTAAAGGTATGGATTATTGAAGACAGCAAGCAAGCTGTAATTAGTTAAATATATATAATTTTTTTGTTTATGTTTTTACAATGCGTAACATTGAGATCCGAGGGATTGATTCAAATGGTGATGCAGAGACCACAAGGACAAATACCATTTGCATACAGCTTTACTGGGAATCAAATGCTGAACCGAGCAAGGCAAAACCTAAGTTCAAGTAGTCCATTTCTAATGCAACATGATCCTAGGACTTGGCCCTACAGGTTAATCATATAACCACATCATCAAAATTGATCAATGACTGTTACCATATATTCAAAATTGAAGTTGCAGGGTTCTTCAAGCATTAACACCAATCAAGCATAAATCTTTGAAGTTCCAGGGTTCATAATGGTCTACTACACCCTCTACATCAACCTAGAGGGATATCAGTCCGAGTACCTGGTGCATCTAGCAGCTTTGCATTCAACCCTTTGGCTGATGGTTTCCCTGCCACTTACCATCCTGGATACTCTACTTTTACTCACCAAATTCAAATCCCACCTACTTACCCTCCATTCCAGGTATCTTTTTCACGCTGTGAATTTGAAGTTAACCCCTCATATAAGTGCTAAACCTCTAATTTCCACCTGATTTTATGGAAATTTTGTAGTCTCGAGCTTTTTATTGGGATCAGACTGCTCCTAGTATTCAAAATTTGCAGTTAGGGGTATTTAGAAACTCATCCATGGTGAGTAAACTAAGTGGAAGATTTTACAGTCTTTAACTTACTTCTCCATCTGACTAATTTATAATTTCTACAAATGTTATCAAATTCTAGCATCAACCAATCATGGGGAATCCTCCTATACCTTTTGTTCCCTATCAGACACTGGGAGCTTTAGGAACCTCAAATCTGGTACGTTATGGCACCCTATATTGCTGGGAGTCTACTGAAAAAGCAACAGTTAGAAAGGATTAATGAGTGCCTAAAAAACCAATTTTTAAGATCATCATAACATAAATTAAACCCTTAATCTATCTACAACTGCTAATTGCTACAAAACTGAAATCACAGTACCAACCAATAATGCCTGGTATCGTGGATCAGCAGCTGGGAATGCTAGGAAGCTCATCTGTGGTATGTGATGGCACCCTAATCAATTACTAGTTCATGTCAAGAAGTAAACACTGTAGAGATTACCTTTTACTAACTACAAGTAAATGTTTTGAAATTTATAGCAGCAGCTGATGAGAGAGGATCACATAACACCTGGTATTCTTAATCAACAACCAGGAGTTTTAGGTGACTCATTTCTGGTATGTAATGGCAACATGAACTCCTAATTTATCACTTTCTGTGAAAAAGTCAGGTAATTGTAAGTTCATCAATTAAATTATACTTCTCATTTCAGTCATTCCCTTATCACTGATCTACCAATGAATTGTAGGATCAATCTTTGATGGGAAACAGCATGACACCTAATGTTCAACTCCAGGCCCAGCAGCCTCGAGTTTTAGGCAGCACATCTGTGGTATGTCATGGCATTCTAGATTGTTATGTTCTGAGTCCATGTAAAGCATTTGTATTTTTCAGATCATCTATCAAAACTCTGTAACTTAATAAATTCCTGAATAAGTTCATGCCGAAGTTTCATGCTTTAGACATTCTTACTCCAGGGAAGGCTTGTAAATGATGAACCTTTTGGAGAAAAAGAAAATCCACCACCAAATTCTTGCCATTATTATGTCAAGTGTTCGATTTCTACATGAATCATTTTAAATTTGAATTCTTCTCAAGGGTCCAATCTACTTATCCGGAAAATATTGTATATTTTGATAGCAGAACAGTTCCAATACTCAGAATGATCCGTCACTGCCACCCATGTCTCAGCTTCAAGTCGATCCAAATGAAGTGAACTTGTTATGCAGCCATGGTTATACAACTACTCAGAATTTGGATGTTCCACCTCCTTTGAACACTGAGAGGTATGCCATCAAAATATCCACTCTGAGAGGTAGTTCATTTGATCGAATTCCTCTACAATTGTCTCTTCAGGGTTTCCTCTGAACCATTCTTCACCAATAATATTGGATCCATCACCACCCCCACCCATAGAGATGGTGACAATACAAACAACGGCATCAGTGGTGGTAATAGCAACAGCAACATTGACAACAGCAGCACCAATTATGGTAACAACACCATTGGCTACTGTGACACAAATGAGAAACATCCGGCAGGCTCTACTCAAGAGAATCCACCTCCAGAGTCCCCAACAGACTCGATCTTTCTCAGTAGCCTTTTGGATGAGGTGAGAACGGAGTTAAATGGATTATATATCTACAGTTTACTTACAAATTCAAAAGTTTCCACAGCTTCTTTTAATAGCCGATCACTTGGCACAATCACAAGCCTAAAGCCAATATAAACCATTAATTTTACTTAAAGCCTTTCATATGGAATCTAAACATAACTTTTTACACAGGCTGCAATGGCAAATGACACACCAAAAACTGCAGGAAACCAGGAGGATGGCTCCATGGAATGGGATGGCTTTACATTGGCGGAAAACTTGAACTTGGAAGACCTTGATATAATATTTTGAGCAATGATAATTTTTAGGACCCATCACAGACTGCAGTTGTTTTTCTTCTTTCCTTCCAATTTCTTCGGATTAGGTTATGAAATAAGATACTGCAGAAATAATGTAGAATCATGAACTTGACCTCGATGGGTGATGCTTGGTTCTCATCAGTGTTTCTGCTGTAATTCCGTTGATACCAACTCTCCAAAGATGCAGACCATTCATCAATTCATTGACTCACAAATGCTTTAACACATTCCAAAACACCCAACCACCCACCAGCACAACAATGAGTTTCAACATAGATTTATGGTAAATCATTTTTCTTTCTGCAATTTTGATTTGCTAACCCCTGGCTTGGTTTTTGCACTTGCAGAAAAAGGTTTGAATTGCAATGTTACACAACATTAATTTGTTTGTATTGGCAGCAGGGGGTTACAAATTTTATTTGACATAAATTTCTTTATTGGGAAGATTTCTGTCACTGTTGCAATGTACCAAGCCTCGATTTTCTTTCTATGTTAAGCAATTCATTTTTAGTGACACCAAATTCATTTGAAAAAGAAAAACTACAATCAAAATTGATTGAAAGAAATAGAATAAAGAATGATAAAACACATGCGCCTTAATTAATTATAATTCCTGAGGAAAAAAAAAGCCTTTGAATTTTATGTATATAAAGTCAGAAATGAGTGGATTGGGTTTGTGATATATAATGGTTGGAGATTTGCCATTTATAAATAAAGGTATTAGAATGCAAGTGACTGTAACACTCATTTGCTGGACGAATAATTCAATGGGGCTAGATCATATGAAAATAACAATAATTTATCATTTTTAATACAATTAAGGGTTTTTTCAAGCTCTGTTTATACTTAAATTCTTTTCCAACGATCATAAGAATTCACTCTCTTACAATGGTTCAGTACAATCAAGATTTTACTTTTGAATTACTCCCAACAAAACCTAATTGACAGCAAAAATGAACTCCTTTTATCAACTAGATTAACACTTGTGGTCACTCATTTATCATTTTACTCATCTCGCCCAAATCTCTAGTAGATAAGAAAGAATTACACAACCAAATTACAAAGTCGCTGACCACCAAAATTAATCTAGGCCTAAGGGAATAATTTAACAATTTTCGGATTAAATTAATCTACAGTAAGATGTGGCAGCTTGCTCTCATAGTTTGCACCTTCATCACTAGATGGCATTTGAGGCCAATTTGATGGCTTCTCAACCTGCTGCTGTGATACCACAGATGGGGAAATACTTGGACCAGCAATATCCTGCCCAAAGAAAAAAAAAATATTGATCATAATTTTATTCGAAGTTTAATTCAATTAGTTTATATAATTATTTTTAAAAAATAATATTTAATAAATTTATATTTAAATTTTGACATATGCAAACCTTTTTTCTATCTCAATGCTGTGATAGCTTATAAATAAATATATAAAAATGAAGATAATTAGGGATTAGAAATTAGAATATTACCTTCATTAAAGGGAAAGATGTAGGAGACGACATGAAGGCAGAAAGGAGCTCAGTTGAAGAATAGCTGTGATGCCAAGGTGGAAGGCCATCGTTACTTGAGGTGCTGACATGGCACCCGCCCATGTCACAAGTATCAACGGTCATGTTTGTTCCATGTGGCATCGGATCATAGATTGTACTAATTGATGTTTGGTTCCTGAATATTTCAATAATAAGGATTTAAGCCTAATTAGACCTGTAATATATTCGGAAAAAGAAACACTTAATAAATTTGGATTCTAATTAATATACCTAACAGGAATGCAAGATGATTCAGATCCTGCACAATAATGAGTTGGGTTTTGACCTCCTGCATTATCTGGCAACCAACCCACAACCTCATTTCCAAAAGAGCTTGGCACACCTTCTTGTGCATCCAAGTATATCTACGTTTGATGTGATATTGAACATCAGTACTACTAATTAATTTGTTTGAGCAACATTTAGATGTTAATTAAGGAAACAAGATCTTAGTAGGTATTTCTTCTCATTTGCTAGTTAGAAATTAATGAAAGGAAAAAAATTATTTTTTCAGGATAAATAATTAAGAATCGATTTTTCATAATTGGCAAACAAAATTTTCTAAGCTTAATAAATGTTGTTTTTTACTTAAATTGTCAAGAATCAAATCCTAATTACTAAAATTAAGAGTTTAGCATTCTATCAATAAAAACTATTGAAGATGTTATTTTTTCATTTTATTTTTCATTTTTGTAGAAATATTAAAACATGGAAATTAGGATAAAACATAGTTAGAAAGTGGTAGAAAATAGAGCATAGATAATTAAGTGACTTTATGTCTGAGATTAATTACCTGTACATTGGTTGGATCAGTGAAGGTGGACATATGATTACTGATGAGATAATTCTGCAAAAATAGAGAAGAGTTAAGGAGGTGGATAAGGATAAATATAAAATGTTGTTAATTTAAAACTGCAAAACCCTATTTAAGGAAAGGGTTAATAGATATGGACCTTTCTTTGAGTAACACGTGCCAAAGCCTGTTCAAGGTTTTTCTCGCATGATTCAAGGTCCGCCATGGATGTGAGTGTTAAAGGCTCAGGCTCATACACCCTTTATTCAATAAAAAATATATATATTATCAGATGGAGTTAATTAAATTTCACCTTCAATTCAAAGCAATACCAAATGAAAGCTTAAATCTTCTAACCTTAATTGTTCCTCGGCCAATTGAAGCTGATGTTGCAAGTTACCGATTTCGCGTTGGATTTCCTGTAAGTAAATTTCACAGAAGAGAAATGACAAAGAATTTCCTAAAAAGGAGAAGGAGAAAGAGAAAAAAAAATCTAAAATGGTTTTGTGTTCGATTATATTTGTACCTCAACATTTGAGTTAGTAGTAGTAGAACTGCATCAAAACATTAATTTAGATTAGAAATAATGTCATTATATAGTGATAAATTTTAGAAAAATTTTCCTTTTACCTAGCAAGTTGAAGTGCAAAATCATTTTCAGCTTGAAGTTTCTTCAGGGTGCTGAGCAAAAACTGCAACATTAAAGGGTCAAAATGAACAAATTCTTTATATCATTACATGAAGGCCACCCTATTTGTTTGGAGCCATAGCTAGGTCAAATTACCTCTTTATTCCGCACCAAGCTGCAATCAAATTTTGAATCAATATTTTGGTTCCTTGAAAGATCATAAATGAAAACAAATTTAACATTTGAATCAAAACACAAAAAAATAACCTACCCTCCTCTATCTTGATCAGGCAAATTTATGTATCGGTTAAGCACATCTTCAATTCTACAAAAAATTTAAAAGTAAAATAAAAATATAAACATGAAATTCGATTCTTATATAATTGTTCACAGTTGTTACAAAAGGTGACAATTAGATATTTGTATTCAATGGTTGCATGAGAAGTTAAGTTATATATGATTAATGTAGGCATAAATAAAAGAATGAGAGAAGTGCGTACCTTTTCTTGCCTGAAAAATGGCTGACGCGACCAGATGGTGAGAACATAATGAGAGCAATATCTATGTCGCAAAGGATTGAAAGCTCATAAGCTTTCTTGATTAGTCCATTTCTACGTTTGGAGAAGGTAACCTGTCGATTTGTATCATTCTCAATCCTTTTAATCTGAAGCTTAACACGACCCATGATTTTTTTTTTTTTTTTTTGTAATTCTATTAAGAACGTAAAGAAAACAAAAAATGAAAAAGGAGGAATAGATCCTGTATCTTCTCTTTTAAAAAGAAAAAAAAAGGAATTGAGGGCAAATCAAATAAGAATAGATGGAAAGAAAAGGGGAAGACAATTGATGCAACAAAAAAGGAGAAACACAAAAGGATTTCCGTATTACAAGAAGAGATTTGAGCAGGAGGTGAATTTTTCATATAGACAAAGAGTAACCTTTGCTTTGATATTTTTAGTTTTGGCACCCAAGCTTTGAAGGGTGATTTTTGGCCTTGAAGATGTCAAAATATAGTCCGTATAAAAAGTTGCAAAGCATTGGTGCAAAGAAAGGGTCGTGGGTTAATTTCAGAGGTTATAGCAATAGTCTACCTTGAAGAGTGCAAGAGTTGGTTTTCGAAACAGTGAATGGACGAAATTTACTCCCTCTTTTAATAATGAACATTGGATGGTTTGTTTCATCATTTGCACCAGTCACCAACATTTGTTACGTCAAGATTTATGGCACAAAGAACAATATTGTTGTTTCATTTATAAAATTAAAGAGATCATTTGCACATGCACCCTAGCATTTTATTTAATAATGATTTAATAATAATTAAGAATTTTTGTTAAAGTATTTACTACATTTAATATTTATGTAATACTAAAAACATATTTTAATAAATAATATCATCTTTATTTGGATTGATTGGTTGAATAAAAATTCAGAATTTATTGATTCAACGTTCAATTTTATTATTAAAATATTATAATAAATCTCTAAAAATTCTATAAAAATTTAAACTAAAAAATAAAACGTACTATAAGAGATAAGAAAAAATAATACAATTTTGTCTATTGCAAACTCTTCATCGTCCCTTTTTTTCTTCATACGAAGTAGGCAAACAGTTAGAACTAAAAAAACAAACATTTTGGTAAATCAAAGCAGGCCCAAATGGCCCGTAAAAGATTGAGCCCTTAAACTTGGCCCATGAAAATCATGATGGAAGTAAAGCTCTTATCCATATCCAACGAAACAAATTTCCCTCCAAAGTGGGTCCTTTATTTTCTTATCCAAACTCTCCGGTTGATAGGCTGCAATCTCCAAATCCAAAGAACCAAAGGGAGAAAAAATGGCAACCTCTGCTTTAGCCATTGCTACTGCAAAGCCGCTGGCCCATCATTTCTACAACTTTAAGTCCCCTTCTCCACCATCATTTTTCTGCTCTTGTTCTTCTTCCTTGCCACCTCCAAATGAAGTGAAACTCTTTTTGAACTCAAAACCTGCTGCCAAGAAGTGTGCTTTCAACGTGGGTGTTGGGCTATTAGCAGCTTCAATTCTTGCTTTCTCACCGTTGGATGCTGATGCCACCAGGATTGAGTATTTTGCAACTGTAGGGGAACCTCAATGTGAGCTTAACTATGTGAGCTCTGGTCTTGGTTACTGTGATGTTATTGTGGGTTCTGGTGAGGAAGCTCCACGTGGAGAGCTTGTCAATGTGAGTTCATTTCTTGAGTTGAGTTGGGTTGGTTTTAATTTTTCTTTAAATTGTTTGGATATTTCTTTTGGCTATCGTCAAATTTGGGGTTTTTGTTGGTTGAGAGGGTATTTAATTTTACCTTTCTTTGCTTTTTGCAAATTATGCAATGAGATTGTGTATTCCTGTTGCTTACTTGCTTTTTTATGGAATTTCGTGGATGAATTTGCTTCTGTTGCATGTTCATTGATTAGACTAATGGGAAACTGATAATCAAGAAAACAGACTCTTTTCATTTTGTGTCTTTGAAAGTGCAAAGGCTTGTAGCCACGGACAGAGTGCATGCGTACGTGTCTCTTAGACGACTCGCCTGGCTGTATTTGAGTGTTGACACAATGAAAATGTGATTTGAAACTTAACTTGAGATTAATCTTTTTGTTGGTTTTTTTTTTTTTGAAAGAATCTTTTTGTTGGTTATTGGTTGATGCTACAATTAATGTTATACAGAGGTAGATAGCACATGGATGAAGACCTAAATGGAATTAGTTACCATGAACACATTATAGGCTTCATAATGCAAAAGAGTTATATGCTAAATAAGGATGACCGTACTTCAAAAGAAACTTGCCACGACAAGTTTTTGAACACTCAAATGTGGACACGTAGAATCATAGATATATTTGTAGTATAAATGCATATCATGACTTGTATTGTCATGATACATTGCAGAATATGTAAATAAAATTAGTTAAATCAAATTGATTGAACTAAGAATATTTTCTTTATTTTCTTCTTTGCATAGATTCACTACACTGCAAGATTTGCTGATGGAATAGTCTTTGACAGTAGCTATAAACGTGCTAGACCTCTTACAATGCGAATTGGTTTTGGCAAGGTACAATTCACTATTGATTCATCTAATGCAGTTTTACCGTTAATCTTTCCTCTCACGATGAAAATTGGTCTTGGCAAGGTTCTTCTGCTTCACCCGGAGGTGGGGGCACACAACACCTTGCAAATTTCCAAAAGGGGACTATAGAAATATGTCTGTGTCCTTGAGCTTATAAATGCTTTTCTTTGATGGATCATCAAGCTTATTAAATCATAGATTCACTTGTTTATTGGTTATTGAACTCATATATATTCAAAGAACATGAAAATAGCTATGTAAATTTATCATTATATGGCTCCTACATCCTCACTATTCCAGTCATTTTTGAGTGAAGTTAAATCATCTTAAACTATCCACAGAGGCATTGAAAATTTGAAAAAAAAAAGTCTTCTCTTCAATTATCCACCACACTTGTATTTCAAAAGTAGTAACTTTCTAACAGCTGCAGTAACTAGGATACCAACAGCTGGGGATCATATTGGTGTTACATTAAAAAGCTTGGTTGACACATTGATCAATTGAGAGTGATTGTGTTAATCTTTGCTTTCTCCCACTTGAAAACAATATTTGTCTTCAGGAGAGGAATAAGCATAGAGTCAACGAGAGAGCAATCAAGATTTGCCCATGTGTCCTGGATTTCTGTTGTCATTTATCCTGTTAACTTAAGTTCATATCATTCCTTCATTTCAGGTCATTAAGGGATTGGACCAGGGGATTTTAGGGGGTGAAGGAGTCCCTCCTATGCTTGTTGGTACAATTTTGAAGACAGTGACTAGACTTCTGCAAATTACTTTTTAGTATATCTTTATTTTCACTCGCATTGTTCAAGAGGAATTTTTATGCGACTGATTTTGAAACAGGTGGAAAACGTAAGCTTCGGATTCCACCCAACTTAGCATACGGACCAGAACCTGCAGGGTGCTTTTCGGGTGAGTAAATTCACATTCTAGAGCTTTCTTTGCATCTGTATCAGTCTAAATTTACAGCTTCTAACTTCTAAACTTCTGTGTGTAAAATAATTGTTCTTGCAAACCGTTCTCTAAAAATGCTAATGTAAATGTTGGATTTTGGCAAGATAGTTGCAGCAGAAAAGAAAGAAGTCTTTTAAGTGAGACAGTCATTGTTGTGACAATTACCTGATGCACTGACTCCATGATGTTCTTTATGTAGGTGACTGCAACATACCTGCCAACGCAACTCTCCTATATGATATTTATTTTGTTGGTATCTACTCAGGAAATGCAAAGTGATGAAGGAGAGTTTCCTTTTTTTTGAAACATAAAATGAGTTTCCTAACTGTCCAGAATTATTAACAGACACTGTTGACTAGAAGTTGCAGTTGCAGCTAAGCATTAACCATTCAGATCTCTATAGGCCCCTTTCTTTTATTACTCGTCACACAGAAAGAAGATCAAGATGCCACCATAAGTTGGCCCTTCTAGAAGTTTCCTTCACACACCCCCCATCTTTTTCCATTTTCTTTTTTAAACTTGTCTAAGATCCTGACTTATTAAAACAAAAAAGTTCTCTCCTTTGGTTCCAGTAAAACAGAAGAAACTAGTACTGGTTTCAGCAAATGAAAACTTAAACCCTATGAAAAGCCAATTATTGGAGACATCAATTTGTGTATATTGATAGACTTCTCATTTTCTTTTTTTTTTTTTTAATTTTAAGAGGGCCAGACTTGACTCACCATCTATAAGAGACATGTTAGGTAAATACTAGGGCATGGAGAACATGATATGAGTTCATGCTGGAAGAAGCAATGATATGATGGTCCCTTTAGATTTCTGATGTATACATTGACCCATACATGATCCCCAACCTATTGTAATGACTGGTTAGTTCTCTGTCTTAATGTATAGTCTGTTTGAAATATTTAACAATTTAGAATCATCTATGTTAGATGTTAAGCATCCAACTTAAAACCAATTAGCGCTAAGTGGAGGGGCCCAACCTAAATATAAAGCTACAGGAAATTGAAAATTTATTAGATGTGGGATAATCTACTTTAACATTAGATACATCTCTTGGCGAGGTTAGTGGTAAAATGCTTCCTCTATTTTATACACCAAATTTGCCCTCCTTTTCTAAAGTTCAAAGGAATGAAGCTCAAGCCTGTTTCAGGTTATCTATTGAATTGTAAGCCAGAAACTCCAATCTGATACTTGTCACCTCTGCGAAAAGAACTAAGTACCTGTCGCTGGGACAATCACCTAAGCTTATCCAAGGTTGGGAACGCTTCTAAACTTTGACGAAGTAATTAATCATCCTGATTTATTGAAATAGTTAAGTGTCTACCTTCTCTGGTGAAGCAAGCTCCTAAAGTGTCATGCTACCATATATTTTCTTTGGAGTTTGGTGTTTGTTTCTTCTTCTGTAAAGTTTTGTCAATTTTCTGTTCCTTGTCTGAGAATATTGCCCAATTTTAGGGCAAATTAATATTTGGATGTATGAATATTTTATAGAGAAGATAAGCGTAAAAAATTGGCTACAGAATTCAGCTTGGGAGCCTACTGGGAGGAAATTGCTCTTTCCTATGCTGCTATAAACGAATTTTTAATTGCTACCAAATTAAAGCATACGGTTGAGTTCAAACTTCAAATGTCTAATTAAAACACTTGAACCTCTCTAGTTGTAGGAGTAATACATGTCTTTACGCTCCTTTGGATCCGAGAAAAGGTTGAGGAAAAGAAAAAAAAAATCAAAGAAAAGGAAAAGAAAGTTTGATTCTCTTCTCATTGTTGCTTGTGTAGGTGGAAAGATGGCACAAGCATGTGCTTTTTCCCGGGAATTTCTTCCCATGCGATTTTCTGAAATGGGATTTCCTTTCTTTTCCCACTGCACTTCTTGTGAGCCAAATTTATTTGAATGAATTTGAACTTTAGTATTGTTTTTTTAGGATCATCCATTCTGTTTTTTATTGTTCTTTTCTTCTTCTAGAATCCTTATGAATCCTTGTTATGCTGCATTGAACATTTAATTTGTCTCAAAGTCCAATGAAAAGCTTCCTAAATGGAAGTTTAGCCATTGAAAATGGTCTGAAATGCGAGTTAGTTCCACCTGCCATGTTTGTTCTGCTTATGAAACTGAAACCTATAAACAAAAAAAAGAGAAAATTTCAATAAACAGGAATATCTCACCATCATCTGAATGGAGCAGCCAGCTTGCACCCAATAACAATGGTGATGAATGACATATAGAGCTCTATTTCCAAGCCAAAACTAATTGCAGGCCATAGAATTCATGACATTGCATACATAATAAGGACAACAAAATAAAGTAGGGCTACAAATACAATAGTTGGCTCACTTCACTCCAACCCACTTTGAAACATTGTTTTCATCACACCAAAAATCAACCCACAAACTTTTTAGGCCCAACCAAAACTGCTCCTTGCAAAACGACAAAAGTAGTAGCCAGGACCGTTTTTAAACGAAAAAGGACTTTGATTAATAGCTCAATAATCTTCTGATTATATCTACCAGACAATTCAACAGGGAAAAAAACTACTAACTACAGAGGAATTTTTTACACTGTGTTTATTGATTTCGCTAGAGGTAGGGGAAAGCTTGATTCTCATGAAGACATAAACTGCAGCCTACATGAGAGAACATGCATTTGGGTTTTCATCACTGAACAAAGAGATGTAAGGATCTTCATACTTGGTGACAGTGGCAGTAGTTACATTGTTCTCTACTTTCCTGACATAACCAGGGGGTGCCTTCTTGTCATAAGCAGGAGCAGCATATGGATGGGCCACCAGGTTGTAAGGAACATAAGGCCAAATCTCAGCCTTTTTCCCTGTTGACTTGGCTTTCTTCAACACCTTGTTTGCTTCTACATATCCTGTTACAGTCACCTTCTGCTGTTTCCTGTTTATGATCACGGATTTCACTCCTGCAATCACATTACATTTCATCACATAATAATCTGTCAGCTAATTCCATAAAAAAAATGCAAAAGCAAAGAAGAGATGAAAAGGAAGAAACATATACCACTCAATGAAGAAAGGGCTTTCTTGACCTTGAGTTCGCAGCCATCACAGTCCATCCTGACCTTGAGCTCCACAGTCTGCAACTGCTTTTTCTTCTTGTATTTATGGCCAGTGCCGCTCATTAAATCAGACAAATACTCCAAAGTGCCTGCAACTCCCATTTTTAATTTGTTTCTCTTCAATGCCTGGGTTAATGAAAACTCCTAATGAAGGATGTACCTAAAAGTTTCAATGCAGGTTTTTACTTCTTTGATCAGAAACGAGGGGAAAGCAGGAAATGTGAAGATGGGGTTTATAGAAATATGGGAATTGATGTGAATTTATATACCGGAAGACAGTAGGAATTGAGCTAACAAAGAAACTGCAAGTGAATTTCCCTGGAAATGAATAAGGGGTTGATAGATGTATATTCCTTGCTTGCCTTGTATCAAACAATGGAAATGGCTTTAAGGCTGCTCTCTTAACCTTCTTTACTTCCTAATCTTTTATACAGCTTCCCTTCTTGAATAGGCTTTTCAAACAACAAAAAATAGTTGTGGGCCCTCAGTGAAGAAGCATTAAACAAAACTTTGATATTATTATTTGGTAAGAAGTACTTTCATTCGTCACAGTTATATTTTACAATTGAATTTTTAAGATTTAGTAATAAAATGCTATTATAACAAAATGAAAATGCCTCTTATCACGCTCTTAAATGAACGCTCTTGACTCATTGACATGATTTTTTTTTTTATTATTATTTTGCTCTTCAGTGTTCTGCCTTTTCAATTACTGTCAAAAGAATGATTTGGGTTCTTAAGAAGGAAAACTCTTTATGCTTAGGCTGGAAGTAAGCAAATTTCAAGGTATTTTGCGTAAGTACCCTTGCATTGTTTAGTATTTGCTCGTTTAGGATAATGTTTTAAGGTTGCTATACTAATTGGTCAGAATTTCAATGTTCGAAATGAAATGAAATTGGCTATAACAATCATCAGATAAATGAGTCAAATTTTAGAGACTTTATTATTTGTGAGTAATTTGGCTTCCTTTAGTGACACATTGGATATTCCAACAAAAACGGCATTTCTCAATGTTCATTTGTTTAAACTATTTGTGCATAGTGTAAGCTACGCTCCCATATTGCACTTGGGATATTTCTGTAGTTTTTTTTTTTTTTTTTTTTATGCTTTATGGTGAAGAAAAAGGATTGCAATGACACGTGGAAGAAATCAAACGGAGGAGATGGTAAAAGAGCAGTTGGCTCCCCCTAAAATGTGCGGTCAAGCCACCTTCTCAAACATCCTTTGGCAAAATCATTTTTTTATTAATTTAAAAATGTTTTCAATTTATGAAATCATTATGTTATTGTTGCTTTCACCAATTTTTTTCATTGTGTTTTTTTTTAACACATATAGATTTTCCATTGCGCGCAGTAAACGAAAAATTTTTTAAATTTGTAAAATGCAAAAAAAAAAATTAATGGTAGCATTTTTTTTAAAGTAATGCCAACGAGGAAGTGTCTTAATAATAAAGAAAAGATTTTAAAATTTTTAATTTAAAATTAAAATCTTATCATGAATTTAATTTAATTTTACATTAAATTTATTTGATTATATGCTAATTTTTATATTTAATTTACTTTTAATTTATTAATTTTTACGTAAAATATAATACTTTATTTGGATTTTAATCTCAATTAAAAAAATAAAATATCTTGGAAAAAAGGGGAGTTGGAGCTTTTGGTGAGTGAGGAAAAAAAAAATGGGGCGTTTCAAAGTGCAAAACAGCGAAAGCAGCCAATGTACATGTGTGGGGGATACAGGCAGGCATACAGCTGTGTGGGGGTTGCTGTTAGATTATGCTCGTGTAATGAGATGCAACCCTCCTTTTTTTCCTCCTGTTATTTTGCCTCCTCCTTTTCAACCCATGCATGATATAAGTTTATAACCAATTTTAGAAGTTCCCAACCTCACCATTCTCCTTCCATCTTACCAAATAAAATTAAATACAATACAAAGCAATTAATGCTTGCTACACTATGTTCTAATGTAATGTTTCCCAACAACCAATTTTTTTGCATTATTAGTTATTATTAAAATCACTATTTATTAAGAAACCGGATTTGGATAATCCCCTTTTATCCTAATGCCAAAAGGAGGGGAAACTATCCTAAGGAAAAAAAAGGAATGAAAATAAGAAGAGGAGCTCATTTTTCTTGTAAATTAGGGTTTGATACTTGCAAAGATTATTTCAAGAATAATGCATGAAAACAATATGAAAAAAATACTTTCTTAAAGTCCTTCGAGAAGGAAGTAAGTTCCAAGAAAATTTAAAACTATCCTTAATTGTATTAAAAAATGTTCATTACCATAAGACCATGAACATTTCCAAAATATCATTGATAAAGAAATTTTTTAAAAAATCTAAGAATAGCAGATAATATAAATATCTTATAATTACAATTCATTAAGTATTTATTGAAACAATTTTAGCCAGTTTACATCTTTAAAAAACACAAATAGAAGTGGAAGGAATATCCACCTATAGCTTTAAATTATATATTATTATACAAGGCATTAATTTATTAATTCAATTAAATAAATAATATTAAAGTTAATCATTAATCATGCATGGAAAACAAAAGAATGTTACTGTCATGTAGTTGTCTTGGTTTGTTTTCCCCACCATTCTCTTCACAAACTTATAATAATTTGTTTTATAACCACCCCACCACACTCAAATAATGGATGCAATTCCCATGAAAAGAAAATTCATTGGGTGGGATCTCCCCATGCCGGCATACATGCAATATAAAGAAAAAAAAAAGCTAAATTTCTCTATCATCCTTGTTTCTTAAAAAGGGAACGGATTAAATATTTGTGTTCGATAAATACACAATGAAAATATTCTAAAAGAATAAAGAAATTCAAAACATATTATGGAAAACTAAATCAGGATCTTTTCATTAACATTATTACATTCAAATTTTCGTTAACATTACATTCTTCATTCAAACTAAAAATTGCATTATTATTTATATACTCGTATTGAAGTTCTTAAATTTTACAAACAAAATTAAAATATAATCTTATTTTTTTCATATTAATTTATTAATTATTTAAAATATATCCTAATAAAAATGTGACAATTAGTCCTCTAATTGGGATAATAGAGTTCAAAAATTCCATCAATTGTGTAAGAGTTTTTTTTTTTTTTTTAATTATTGGAAATAAGATTTAAAAGAAAGAAATATATACCTAATGCCGAATCAAATGCTCAAGAGTCATTTTCACATTGAAATTAAACATTAAGTAGGTTCAATTCTTGAAATATTGTTGTAGTGAAGTAACCACGTTTTGAACATGATTGATCAGCCTTTCTTTGATCATGCAGAAGGATCGCTGATAACCCTAGAGTTTAATCAAAGCCTTCGTAAATATATATTAATGCAATTCGTTTCCTCAGCTTTGCTTTTCTGCGAAAGCATTTTTGTTTTTTAATTATAATAATTATGATAACCTTCTTTATTAGAAAACCTTCTCTTGTTTTGCATCTTTTTGTCCTTTAAAAGCAAGTAAAAATCACTAAGAAACCAAAGGACAAAATGCTAGCGGGGGTAACACATTAATTAATAAATCCTGCATATAATCCAAACTTCACTCCTTAACAAAGGAGGAAAAGCAAAAGGGAGACGCATGCACGAGCGTCGAGCATGCTAGCCTTTTGTTTGAATTTGAATATCTAATCTCATGCACAAAAGCTGCGGAAAAGATTAAAGCATCATCCCATCTATAATTTGTTTATAATGGTTTTCTTTTTTGCCATTTTAGGTGCATTGATATAATTTCTGGTTTGATGATTGAGAAGTTTGTGAAAATTGAGATGGGAAGCTTGTTAAATTTATCACATAAATAAAAGTTAAGGGGCATCAAAAATGCTATTCTGAAACACATTTCAAAAATGATATATGAGGGAAGAAAAAAGAGTAGAAAATAGTGAGAGAGAGAGTAGAAAAATGTAAAGTGAAGGGTATAATATATTCTTGTTTTTATTTTCTATGGATGATGATATAATTAATTGAATATATGATATCATATGAATATTAATAATGTGACAATCAAAATGTTATTGATATGATGTTAAGATATAATAAGTTCAAATTAGATTTTTTTTTTTTGTTATTTAAAAGGAAAAAAAATGGAGAATGGAAAGTTATCTAGGGAAGGTAGTACTAACAGGCAAGCCAATCATGCTCTGTCCTAACTCAATAATTCTCAAAGCTTTAAAACTATCCTTTGTCCATTGTCCTTTTATGAATAAAAATATAAAGAGAGTCCAAAATCTTCCGAATTGCCCACTGAAAACCAATTTTTTTTAAAGAAAAAATAAGTGAAGAAAAAGCAAATAAAAGGCTTCTCTTCCCAAAGGGTTAGATAGATTTGGCCGTGGAAAGAAAATGTACGACAAAAAACCAAAGCTGAGCATGCACACGAGCAACACCAGCATCAATATCATAATCTGTTTTCTTTTTTTTGTTAGTGATGATATGATTGTAAGTACGGTTTGTATGCCGTAAAAATTTGTACATATTTGTCTTAATTTGTTCATATGATCAGACTATGGTAGCTCAGCCAGGACAATTGGAGTCCCAACTTCTCAAACCTTTTCGGCACAAAAATATATGTATCCTGCAATTAAAACTTAGAACTTATGGTAGCCAATTAAGTGGTTTTCAATTGATTTTCTGTAAAATGTCATGAAAATCTCCCTTATTTCCATCCCAAATTAATTTTAAAAAAAAAAAAAAAACTCAAGCACCATAACTTGGGGTGCAAATGAACTAAAAACATAATACTTCAACTTTGAATTCTCAAATTTGAATTCTGAAAATAACGACAAAATTTATGAAATGAAAGACGATTATTTCGTTATTTTCAAATGTCACATCGGTAATATATTTGAGTTTCTAGCAGATCTTATAAGGATAGGAATCCAAACTCATGTACGCAAATATATACACGTAAACATTGAATATTTGAAAACGTCAATTGGAATAAAAAGTAAATAAAAGCCATATGTGACAATACTTTCAAATTAGCCAACAAGAATTGGTGTAATTGCGAAGCTATACATGTGCTTTTCATAATGAAAACTTACCCATAAATAATTGAATTTGGTGGCTGTTAACATCAGAGAATAATCGATTGTTTCCTGAATTATAATAGAAGCACATGCAAAATTAACCGACCTCCATGCCAGTTTCCCACAAATTATTAGTGGTTCTACATTTTGTTCCAGCTGTATTTTGGACCCTCTTTGAAGAAACCAACTCTCCAACGTTTTAAATTAAAAAATGTTAGCTATTCATTATCAATGAAAATTACTTAACATTTTAGGTCAGGTAAAGTGTAATTTTTGCCAACATCCCACGTAGTTTGATAGTAAAGTATTAAATTTTTAATTTTAGTGATCAAAATTTAAATTCTAATAATCTCAAATATAAAAAAAATAAAAATTTAATTTTTACTTCTTTCAAGTTCTTGACTCTTATTACAAGGATTTATGCAAGATGTTTAGTAGAACATGATAACATGTTTATTTAGTATTAAATACATATAAAATATAAAATATCATATCATAATTTATATTTACGCACCAAACACAAAATAAATTTTAAGTTTTTATCAAACTCATATATAATTTTTATTAAAATTTTAAATTATATCATTTTCTCATCGTATCATGTCATTTTTAAAATTAATAAATTTATCTGAGTGAAATAATGGATGATTTATTATTAAGATAAAATTTGTAAAAAAAAATTAAAAATTACAATTATTTAAAATTGAAAAAATTATATGAACATAAAATTATTTATAAGTAAAATAAATAAATATCATAATAATTTTAAAAGTATTTAAACTCAATTTCTTTTCAGAATAGAGTACACAAGATTTGAATACCTTTAAAAATATATCTCTTTTTTGTTTTATCTTTTGACATTTGAGTAATTTTTCCATCCAAATTAATTAACTTCACTCGAAGAGTTTTATAAATAATATAAATACACTAAGATCAGAGATAGATAAAATGATATGAATTTTCTAATTAAAAAGTAAATATGATGCATACTAAATGCCCCTCTGTTCAATCCAACGGCCATCACAGGGAAAAAATGATGGCATCAGACCACGAGACTGCTCCAAATATTTATACATTACACAGAATAAAGAAAGAGAAACTATTAGGATAATAGAAAGAAAAAAAGATGAAAAATAGAAAGAAAGATGGATCATGTACACCTGATGCTAAGTGAGAATGAAATTCAGCCATGGGTGGTGCCAGTATCTAGTGGAAAAGATGAAACAAGAACATGCAAAAGAAACAGCAGCGGCAACAATTTTAAGTAACAAAATTGTGATGATACTAGACGGGTCGGGGCAGCTGATGGTTTGGAGGGAGCCCTACCGGCCAGGGCAGGAGCAACTGCCTGTCCACCGGAGGTGCTTTGCTGCTCATTGGTTGGCAATGGATTTGATGGTGTCCCGTTAGGAGCAAGGGACATCCTTTTACCATCAGCTAAATCTTGACCTGAATATGAAAATTGAGAATTCAGTATTATGTTTTTAATGAAGAAACAAAAAAACCAACACCTTAATATTTTTCATATGGGATCTGGCATCAAGCTGTATTAACATTGCACCCGACCCATAAAGAAAAAGAAAAGGAGGTGAGCCGTTGGGAAAAAGTTTACAAGTAGAAAAACATTGATTTAGCCCCTCCCAAGTACAACCCATCAGCATCAAATTTAAAAACCATGTAGTCACAAAGATTAGATGGAAAACAGTACCCACATACATAAGCTAGAGAACTTACAATTTGATGGTGACCAACCTAACTTCATATTTTCTCTATCAAATACCATCCGATATCCGGTCATGAAATTCTCTGCAGAAATACATTTTCTTAGAATATAATTAATATTTCAAGTCCAAACACCAAAACATGAATGGAGCAGACACCCATGCATGTACAAGCACACAAGCACAGCCAGACATGAAAAGCAAATATAATATGAACAACATCTTTGGCATTAAAGAAATACAGTAGCATACGTCCAATTGTTCCAACATCCCCCTTCACAGGCTGTATGGCTAAACAGAATCCAGAGACTCCCTGCACAAGAGCAATCAAGTTAAGAATTCATCTGAATCTGACAACTTTCACTCATCTAATTGCTACTTTCAGACTACATACTCCACATTAATACCAAGATGAACAAAGATCCCTACACCATATAGCATAGTACAATAAGCTCTTACATTTTGACGTTACTAACCGTCAAGTAAAACGAGTGAAAACCCAAATTATATAGTACAATTAAATTTGTGATACCTAATATTACTTCATGCATAACAATAGTTGTATATACTCACAAATGACCTCTCTGACCCAGGATCTATTCAAGCCCAGATCAGCCCCATTTTGATTTTTAATCTTACTTTTACTTTTCCCTTTTAAACATGATAAGAAAGCAATCATAGATGCTCTAAGGATCGCCAGCTCACAGTTTTATACTAAATCCCATCCACAGGTCGAGCCAGAATCTAGTAAATTTAAGGGAAAGGAAGAGGGTATCTCAATCAAAACAAAACTTTTGGGAAATTTTCACTAAATGGAGTACCATGAAGTATTATTTAATAAAAGGTGTATATCAACAATGAACAATTAACATTGGCTCTCTTAAGCAATGTGGTACTCTTTTAGGTTCATTGGAAAAGAGGCCATCATAACATCATACAAGGAGTATAAATATGACGTATGTCATTGATCATGTTTTTGCCATCAGTTAAGCTTTTCTTAGAAAAAAAAAAGTTATATAAGAAAAACAAAAAAGCAGAAAAAACCATCATTATCACACAAGCATTAGAGATTTCTAGTGATCTCTGGCATGTCAATATTTGAAATTAGTCAAACAGAAATTTCATATTTCTGCACTAAAAGTAACTGATGTTCGAGAGTAGAACTTGGCTATTTCTCACTGTTTTGGCAACAAGTTATACGTGCAGCTTACTCCCAAATCCAGAAGAGAGAGGTCCTACAACTTGATTAATTTTTCCACTCTAAAGAAAAAAGCTTAGAAAACAAAATTGTAGAAATTTCCATGGGGTAAAGAGTTTAAGCACCTCAATACCATAGACCACAAAAACAGGATTATAGACCACAAAGCTGTTGTTTATAGGGAACACGAGCTTCAAGTAGGGAACCTTGGGTAACTCCGGTGAACTGTTTCACAAAAAAATGAGTAAATGTTGGCATACCACAGGCACACTCTAGTGCCCACATGCAAAAATCGGAACTATCTTATAAATCTCTTTACATAAGTGAGTTAACCTGGACTTGTAGCAATATTTCCAAGGATAACCTGGATAGCTAGTGATTGTAGCATTGACTCGTCGGCCAAACTATCAAAAAATAGCAATGAAATCAGACATATATTGATAACCAATTTACTCTGAGGAGTTTGCCAGGCAAAGATAATACCTCCATAGTTATTCTCTCATACACTTCATTAGGAAGAAATGTAAATGAAGTTCCACTATCAACCACTGCACTAAAGCCTGTTTCTTTAAGGCAAGAATTACCAATACAACAGGCCTCCACCCCAACAATATAGGTCATACTGAATAAAAACATCAGTTAAATCACAGTACAGAAGAGGAAATCATAAAATCTTTGAGAATTAAGAAATAAGAGAACAATATATATAAAAAAAGCGAACTAAATAAAAACATATAATGGTCCATACTATTTCCCATCTGAAGGCAGGAACTGAGTCGATTGCTGAGTGGCTGGTCCCTCATCTCCAAAATAAATTCTACCGGAATCTTCCTCATCAAAACACAAAGAGAAAGAGTTGCGGATCAATCCTGCTTTTGCAAGGAAACTAGGAACTGAAATTTCTCCAGGTCCCAAACCCATCAAACCATCAGGAGCAACCCCATCCAAGTAACCACCAGTTTGCTTCATACCACATCTGTATTCAGGAAATATGATGACAAAAAATAATCTATGGTTAGGAAGACAGCAATTCCTTGATAGCGCTAGAGAAATCAGTAAATATATCAAATTAAGAAACTAATGTGGCCAGTAATCATCAATAAAGCACCCTATAATGATAGGAGCCTGCACTGAAGTGTTCAATGTATGATCACCAGCTGATGCAAGATGTAAAGTATCCTCAACAAGCAATCCAGAACTTGAAGTATTTTCTGTGTAGTAGTCAACAGTGTAAGGGCATTGCTGCTTAGAACTTTTGCAGTTTGTGCTTGATTCACATAACTGATGGCTGCAAGGTACGTGCCTGCTAGAGCTTGAACCAGATGGTCTGTACTCACTCAGATCTTTATCCTGCATAATAAATGCCCCATATATGAAGGAGCACCTGCCAATCAATCATTGGAAATAAGCGCTAAACATGCTATCTTGCCTTACCATAGACTTCACATTGCATTAAAATAAAAAAATAATAATAATAACAATTAGTCTTGACCCTAGCCCAGCAACCCCTATCTTTTTTTCCAAGTGACATGGATGCGTCAAAAATTACCTTTAGTGAGAAATTCAAAAAACAACGAACTTAATAAATGAATGATCTACACACACTTATCAATGAGAGACACATGACTGATTATCAATGTAATAAAGGCTTGAGAAGTTAAAAGATCACTCAAGGAACAAAATCATGAATTGATGGTTTTAACTTTTTATGGTCTTGTATTTAATGGTCTATTTGAGTAATTTTTCTTCTTTTCTTTTCATTAAGCAGGGAAATTTTCCTTAATTATGATGCACAGATATCAATATATACCAATTCTTAAAAAAGTTAAGATACATGACAGCAGGATGCTCTTGTTAAAAATCAAAATCAATTTCATGGCAAAAATAATATTCCGTGAATAATTTAAACTACCAGGTGAATAATTAAAGTTCATTATCATATGGATCTTATAAGTATTTTGTAATGAACTCCATTTCATGTTTTCACTAACAAACATAAGTGTCTGGGATGTATGGGGTATAATATCTAATAAGATGCAACTTTTGATCACTGATTATTCCATATGAAATCATCTGATTTTGTTTTGAAAGCATTGAACAAGTTGGGTCCATTATAGACAGTGAACCTGCCTCGTGGAAGAATCCATGCTACATATTTACCAAACAAGCATCATGAACAACAATTCAAATATGTCACAAAAAAGCAGAAAATTTTGAATGTACAAATGGTCATTAAAGTAAATAATGACTGTTTAACAACATAATCATAGAAGGCTGGCCTACCAGACTACTATAGTAACTGGCAGACAGTGGAGCGCATTGCAAACAATCGCATGGAACCCAAAGTAGATCACTCCCAACATCCAATGCAACAAGAAATGAAATATTTGGTGTCCCTATATCAATCCAGGTGTAGTGCAACCTAAAATTGGAAACTGAGTCCATTAAATAATCACATAAACAGCAAGGAACTAAAAATTCAGTTGATATTTACAAAGATTTCATTCATAAAGTCATATATAACTTTCTCGAAAATAAATTTGATAAAATCACCAATAGGTTAAATTCTCCATTCTCTTTTTTGGGGGATAAAAATCCTCCATTTTATCTCTTTGTTTTGGGAAATGCTAACACATACCCTGAATGCATTTGTTAGGTAAATATTTTCACATTCAATTCAGTAATTTCCAATGCCATTAGCTATGAATTTAGATATTGATTTAAAAAGCAAAATTTAACATTTGCACATAAAAGTTGTATATTTGAAGCCCAGTAACTTGCATTGCACAACGGCAGTCCTTGTCCATTAAAAACAAAGGAAAAAAAAAAGACGAAAGAAAAGGAAAGGCAAAAAGGTTGTCTTTTCTTCAAAGAAAGTCAACATCCTTAGAAATAAAGAGGAACAAATTTTAAAAATGGAAAACTTAAGCAAATGAAGCTACATGATCTGTTAAATAGCAGTCAACAGCATAGTTCAAAGAAGTAGGTTTTTATACCATCCGAAGTCGTTTCCGAACGACATCGTTTTGCTCCCTTGAGAAGGGAAAACGAGGTTGTATTTAGACCCAAGCTTCATCTTCTGCCGCTGCAAATCACTGTTCACAAGCAACTCGTAGTACTCCAAGCTCTTCCTCTCCGGCCACCGAATTCCGCCACCGGTCCTCGGAACCCTAAGCAACTTCGCCTCATTGGAAAACCTATGAATGAGCTTCGACGAGTAAGTAACAACCGCCGCCACATCCACGGAGGCAAACGCCAGAAACGCCGCCAAAATCAGAACCAGAGATCGCCTAGTCGCCATCGATAGAGATCTAAGCTTTTTCTTAAAAAAATAAGGAAATGCAGATAGTAATTAAAATTGAGAAAAAATGGCAAAAGATTTTTCCTTTCTTTTCGAGACGGTAAGAAGAAGAAAAGAACTGTGCGCACTGCGCACAGTGTAGAGAGTAGAGTGTTGTTGGATAATTAAGTGGGATTAATCATCCTAATTTTAATTAATTAAGTAATTTCCTGGAGGGAAAGATATGATTACGTTTAATGAGGAGGAGCGGCCACGTAGCTGGGGTCCACTTGTGAAAAGGAGAAAAAGTAAAGTTTGTTGACGTGTCAGAGAAAACAATGGGAGGTTTGATTGGCGGGGACGTTTTGTCTGACACGTAGGGTCCGTTGCGTTTCTGGGGTTTCGAGACGGAGCGATTGGAGGTTTGAAATTCAACCGTTGAGTTGGCTCCCTTTGGCTTTATTCGGTTTTTCTTCATGCTTTTCGGTGGTTTAATTTATAATTCAAATTCCTTTTTAAGTAGAGTGCTTCCATTTTCATGTGGCACCTAGATTTCCTCCCTGTATACCGAAGCCAAGTGTTTTGACTCATTTGAAATCTAAGAATAAGTGTGACATGACCGCTTCAAACAATTGTCTCTTCTCATAGGTAAGATAATTTAAATATGATATAATATAAAATAATATAAAAATAATATAATTTAAAATTTTAATAAAAATTATATATAAATTTAATAAAAATTAAAAAATATATTTTATATTTAATATATTTACATAAATTTAATATAATAATTTTTATATTTCACACATTTTAACAAAAAATAAATACAACATAAATATATAAATTATCAAGTTTAATTACTAAAACACTTATAACCCTAATCTTGATACTAACAAATAAAACAAGAAGAAGGGACAAATGATCGTACTAGTAGTGCTTGTCAAGGATTACAGATATGCAAAAAAAGAAGTGATTTAATAATTTTTTGTGAAAATATATAGATTTATTTGTAAAAGATGATAGGAAAAAAAATTACAAGTGAAAAAAAAAGTCGGATTTCTATTAGATCTATCAATAATTAGATTCTAGATAAAATTTTTAAAGTCCAAATTTAGCTCTACATAATATTTAATTGATAAGAATATTTTATTTACTTTTATTTTTATAATATATTTAATAATATTAAAATATTAATTTTAAATATTTTAATAAAATAGAGATCTACCTACACCAATAATATTATATTATTTTTTATTTATGAATCAAAATTAAGTTTATTTAAAATGTATAATTTAAAAATAAAATATATAACACATTAAATATAAGTGTATTGATAGTGTTTTTAGGTGTTGGTTGGAAAAGAAATAGCATGGTTGTCGCATGAAGGATAGTTGGTACTTCTAACAAGAAAATATGATCAAAGGACATCAGAGTTGACTTTCCAAGATATATTCTAATAATCAAGCCAGTCAAGTGTTTAAAGTTTAAATGGGGAAAATGGAGTATTATGTGTGCTTAAAAAGCTTAAAAAGGAAAAATTTTGAATTCACGTCATACTTAGATCTTTTTTTACTTTATATATGAGAAAAAAAATGATGACATGATCAGGATAATTGATAATAAATTCATATGAAATTTGAAGAGAGGTCATGTGAGTGATTGTGGGCTGCATTTAATGATCCTAGGCCACCGTGGGCTACATTTAATGATTCTAGACAAGTTAAAGGTTAATTGGTATGTTATCAAATGATGCCTTAATGGGATGTTAGTGGATGTAGTTGGGTGAGTCTCTCCTTAGCGAGGGCAAGCTTATTCTGTGTGTGGAGTGTACATACCCAATTTGGTCCAGGCCCAGATCAATTGGGCCTGGTCCAAATGGGTAAGTCAATTTTGTATTTTTATTTTATATCTTATTTATTTATTATTTATTTATTGCTATTATTATTATTATTTATTAATATATATATTTTTATCTATTAATATATATTATTATTTATCTATTAATGTATATAAATTTTTATCATAACTATTATCTATTATTTGTCTATTAGTATATATATTTATTATTTATCTATTATTTTTTTTTTTTTTTGGTTGGGATTAAAGGATATTGACCAAAAAATGAGAATTTTACCGTGAATTTAAAATTCAATAAGAGTCCAAATTGGATTCAAAGATTGAATCACAATCCAAGAGAAAATTGGGATTGATTAGAAACTCTTTTGATTAATCCCTATAAATAGATCCACAAAAAACGAACAAAAAAACACACACAGAGAGAAAACAAAAGCTAAAAAGGTTCTGATGCGTTAGATACAGTTTTAGGAATTTGTGAGAATTTTTTTAGAATTTTTGAAGTTTTTTTTTTGAAAAATTTTTGAAAATTTTCCAAAATCTGACGAAATTTTCCTGCGAGGTTTGAATTTTTCAACGAGTTTTTCGATCAACTTTGAAGTTTCCAGCATTATTTTCTAGAATCTGGTGAAAATTCAACCAGATTCTGGGTTGTGTTCTTCGGGTAGAGAGAAATAAGAAAAACAGAAGAGAAGAGAAAGAAGGAGGAAGGCGCATCTAAAGAAAAAACCCATTCTTTGACTTTTATACCTGCGCAAAATAACGTCGTCTTAATGCTAGTACGTTACCAGGATCCGTGTGTTTTTGTTTGGGCTGACCCGACCCGATTCGTTAACCCGCATGCTAGCCAATCCCTGGAGCTGAGCCGAGCCGACTTCCTCGAACCGCGTCTTTAAGTCGTATTTTCTATCTTGAGCCGAACCATTTTTCAATCGAGCTGAGATGTTCCAAAGGTTTATTTATTTATTTATTATTATTATTATTTATTTTACTATTATTATTATTATTATTGATTAGATTAGAATTATTTAGTATTCCTTATTTTATCTTATTTTTATTTTTATCTTTATCTTTATTTTTATTTAATTTTATTTTATTTTTTGATTTTCTTTAAATAAAATTCCAAAAAAATATTTTTGAGGAAAAGTTGAAAGTATCAATTTTCCTTGAAAATAAGTTTTCTAACAAATATTTCTGAGAAAAAGTTGAAAGTATCAATTTTTCTTGGAAATAAATTTTCTAAAAAATATTTTCGAGAAAAAGTTAAAAGTATCAATTTTCTTTGAAAATAATTTTCTAAAAAAGGTTTTTTTGAAGAAAAGTTAAAAGTATCAATTTTCTTTGTACAAAAGCAATGAGTTTTTGAGGAGAGAAGGATTTATATCAAAAGCTAAATCATTATTCTTTTTTTTTTCTCATTTTATTTCCTTTTTTTTTGAATTTTTTTTAATGTTAAATAATCTAACGATAGAGCCTCTGCAAGTGAAACAGTAGTTTTCTTGCATACTCTTGAGGTGAGGGAATTTGTTTAATTTTTTGCTAAAAGTATTAGAGTAAATTGAGAATAATTTTTAATAATTAATTACTTGGTAAATTTTTAAGGCTTATTGGATAACACAAAATTAAGCTGGTACCATCTTTCGATGGGCGTTATGAGGGTGTTATAACCTTTCTCACATGTAATCGTACTCTGAAACCCTATTTTGATTAGTAGACCTGAACCTATTCTTTTAGGGACCCTTAACTTAGGTGTTCCTTAAAAGGATAGATTCCTTAGGTGGCCAATCGCACCTAGATAAAAAGATTGGTGGCGACTCCTTCAAGTCAATGTCTAGCGATGGATCCCTGGATTTAGACGTTATGACAGTTTGGCAACTCCACTGGGGATATCGAAGCCGAGAGTTAGGCCAGCAAATAAATTTGTGTTATCCAAAAGTCTAATAAAATTGAACCATTTGTATAAATTTTTATTTATTTATTCATGTTTATTTATTTTATTAATTATGTCATTCATATGCATATGCATAACATGAGCTCTATACTCAAGCTTCGTCCCTTTAGAAGGGAGTAAAGTACATATTGCTTTCGTGAGGTTTAATGCCTTCGCAATGGCTAGTGAAATACTCTCACTTAAATTGAACCTTTTTCATTTGCAACCTGTAATGGGCGAGGATTAGGGTGCCTTACTAGTTTGTGATGAACAATGATGTAAGGAGCAATTTGGGAACCTTTAGACTTTAACCTCAAACCACATATAGTGAACCTTAAGAGTACATAACCTATAGATAGAGCCATCATTTTTGCTTTTTAGAATTGACCAAAAGCATAGGATTCATTCTTCTTATTCTGTGTGATGTTTTAATTTACTTAGTTATTTATTTATTCTTTTTTTTGGGCATACTAACCTTTTCTCTCATTCTTTTGCATTGGTTCATGCTCATATCATAAAGTTACATAAAGAACATTTGCTTGAAAGACGATCTTTAACAAAAAGTTTTTCATAGACTCCACAGAATGATTAGTTTGCTTCTCATCTGTATTAGCTCCTTGTGAGCTACCCAATAAAGTAAAAATCTAGTTAGAAAAAATGTAACTAAAGATGAGGGATTGTTTACCAATCGACTATAATTCTACCCCATCTCAAGAAACATTTATCCTCCTCAAACAAAATAATCTAGAAGAATTGGTTGATATATGGAAGAAGATGATTCCAACTAGACAGAGAAGTTTTGCCAGAGACACAGACATTTAGCACACCTTCTCGTAATAGTTATCGACAATCAACTAATCAGAGTTGCAGCATAATTTTGGGATCCTACATACAAGTGTTTCATCTTCAATGAAGTTGATATGACACCAACCATCAAAGAATATTCAACTTTATTGGGTTTGTACCTCAAGGCTCCTGATAAGATATATGTCAAAAAACACAAGTCAAGATTTCGTAAGGGTTTGGCTCAACTCATAGGGATAGGCAAAGAAGTTATGGATTCTCATACAAAGAAGAAACAAGAACAGGTTTGCCTACCTTAAAAGTTCTTTCATGAGTTTCTAGTGTAACATGCCAACAAAGAATAGGAGTTAGATGTATTTGCCTTAGCTATATACGAAATGGTGATATTTTTAAAGGTTTTAAGTTATATTGAAATAGCGGTGGTTGACTTCTTCGAGAGTGTGATCAATAGTTGTAACCCTTTAAAAGTAATATTAGCAGAGACTATCAGATCTTTGAGTTACTCTTATCAAAATGGAAGGTATTTTATAGGCTGCATACAGTTATTATACTTATGGATGAAAAATCACTTCGAA